TTGTTATTATTGCTATTATTACTATTACTATTATTATTGTTACTACTGTTATTATTATTATCACTATTATTATTGTTATTGCTGTTATTATTACTATTATTGTTATCATTATTATTACTATTATTATCATCATTATTATTATTATCATTATTATTCATTTTTTTCTTACTATTTTCGGCATTTTTATTTAACGCACCTAAATTTGAAAAGAGAAAGGAAACAAATTAACAGCATAAAGTTAGCCATAACTGTACCGTGAAAAAAAGCATTACAATTTACTTTGTGAGCAATTTTGCAATGTAAAATATTCTACTCTGTGATATGGAACGTTTTACATAATGATTCATGCTCTGTTTGCGCTTCACTTTTCTTAGCACGGTGCTTACATTCTTCGTATGCCTCTTCTTCAGTCGTCCGTTACTGGCTACTCTGCGCGTCTCCACGTGTACTTGTATCGAAAAAGTTAAGGTAAAGGAAGAACGGGACGAAAGGGCAAGTGAAAACAAAGAACTGGAAATAAAACATTTGGAAAAGGCAAAATGCTTATTCGGACATATATGCATATTTATTCAGGCACATGTATGAATACAAAATGCTCGTCAAGCCCTGTTGCCTGTAAACTCAAGTACCAATTTCCCTCATGCATGTGCCCTCAACTTTCATGCGAATACGGAGACTCACATTTTCATGGTGTGAGTGTGCCGGCTCACTTGCCAGAAGGGTTCCATCGTGCGAGACACCGGCTGCTGCCTCATCTACAGCACCCATCATCGACGTATCGCGAGGTGGTGGTGCTGGTGGTGGTGGACTATAACTGCCATTCTGCTGTTGCTGTTGCTGTTGCTGCTGACGTCCCATTCGAGTGAGTTCGTTCGCTAGCACACCCAAATCCTGATTCTAAAAAAAAATTACATTTCCCTCAAACATGATACAAGGTTTCTGGAAAAGAATAATTGGCCAACGCACGGGCTGTCCGTGCAAAGATGCGTTTTTCGCAGAGTTCCCCGCAGTTTTTGTTGCTACCTGCACTGGCTTTTTCGGCAAATGCTTCTAGCTAAACAAATTAAGACTGGCCGCCAGAACTGCCTGGAAACATTCTCTCAAAATTTCAGTCTTCTAGCTTCTCACGTTCTCGAGTAACTTACCCGGAAGGAAGTTTTCACGGGCCACGCTTACCCACGGGAAGGGTTTGAACTTGTTAATACCCACTTAGACAGGGAACACCCCCTAACATTTCAGCTCTCTAGCTTCTCAGAACCCCGAGTTATGAATTTAGGCGGCAAAAATTTTGGGGGGCTCGTACGCGGGCACCACGCTTACCCGGGGGCTGGATTTGAGCTCATTAGTACCTACTTGGACGGGGAACATTTCCATAAAATTTCAGCTCTATTTACCGGGGGCTGGATTTGAGCTCATTAGTACCTACTTGGACGGGGGAACATTCCCATAAAATTTCAGCTCTTCTAGCTTTTTCTCTCGCAAGTTAGCAGCTTACCCGTAAAAAACTTTGGCAGGGTCTTACGTGGGTACTACACGGGAAAGACCGCCCATTTTGGGGATAGGGGCCCGTACGTGTATGTAGATTAAGTCCCCAAAGTTT